CTTACACTACTTATACTTAACACACCACTTACTTAGCAGGATGATCTTGAAGACCAGTGTTACTTCCCATCAATGGCCAATACTACCTCACAGGATAAATTGCCTTCTGAGAGCAATCAAGATTTTCTCCAGGTATTTCCACTTCAAGTTTAAAAACATTGTTTCCCGTACAATTGCAAATGTGTTGACATCAACAATTAAGAGATCGACAATTTTTTGTTTTCTCTTCAGATATTTGAATGGACCATTACAATTTATTTGAGTAACATAAAATAATGATTATGTTAAATGTTGTGACTGACCCTCATACTACGTTAAATGTCAATAACGCAGTAATTTTTATTTTGTAATTCAGTGATGCAGGTTTTGAAATCTAGCATAACAATCATTACCACTTGTCTATCAGATGTAAATGTTTTAAAAGTAGTAAGTCATTCAATCAGTCAGCCAGTAAGTGAACAATTTATGTAGTAAAGGTGACACTAAATTATAGCAAAAAGGTAATAAATAGGTGAACGATACTGCTGCTGTTGGATTATGGAATGAAGGATATTACTTCATAGGTTTCCGTAAGAAGTACTAATTTTTATCCTAGTGACAAATGTGGCTGGTAGTTCTTCAATGGTATTCCTGCAGAATATGGATGCCCTTACTATTTTAATATTTTTTGTAGGAATCTGATGCTGTGGCTGAATTAAGTGCACTTTTTCCAGACAAAAGTATAGACACTATCCGAGCAATCTTGGCAGACAGTGGAGGAGATAAAAGTGTGGCTGCATCAAGGCTTATCCAGTGGTCTGCTGGGACATGTAAGCTACCTATACAAGTTTATTACTTAAATGTGAATAATGGTAGATCTCTGAACTTTACCTGTCTGTGATGTTATTACAACAAAGCAGAGGTCCTTGGTATTGTGTAGTGGTAAGGTTGCGTGCATTTTTTTTTCCAACATAATTATTTTTCTGATTACCATGGAACCCTTCATTGGAGACAGTTATACTTATCTGTTCTTTCATTTGGTTTTGAAATTGTTATTTCATTTCATTTGAAATAAGAGCCCTTCATTCGATTTAGAGGTGCATACTTATAACATGACCTAAGCTTTACAGAGTCTCATAACAGATAATTTACTGAACTCCCCTTTTTGCAATTTCTTCTGCAAGGTGCCCTAATGAACAGTGGGGACTCAGGTAATGAATACTGTACAGAAGAAGACAGTGACCTCATGCAATCACCATTTGAAGCACATGTATCCTCAAGTACTGTCAGTACCTGTACTGACCCTGTTGCACAGTACAAACAAGAAACTCTGGATGAAAATGGCCCACCACTGAGAATCTATGTAAATCGGATGACGGAGGAGTTCACTGCAGATGTTTTATCCATTTATAAGAAAGCCAACCCATGTTTTCGCTCAAACCTTCGAGTGCAATTTGAAAATGAAAGAGCAGTTGGCGAGGGACCTGTCAGAGAGTTCTTTAGCATATTAATGGGATTTGTTCAAAATGGTCTTTACGTGGATGATCCTGGGCGGCTGACTATGTTATTTGAGGGCCAGACTGACCACAAAATTCCAGTCCCAAATGCGTTACTGTGTAATTCTGGACTGTACACTAGTGTTGGACGGATGATTGCACATTCTTTCTTGCATGGAGGACCACCACTTTATGGACTTTCCCCAGCAGTGCTTGAATTTTGGACTCGTGAAAGCATCAGTGAAGCTGTTACCATGGAGGACATCCCAGATTATGACCTTCGACAAGCCTTGAAGCAGGTACTCGCATTGATGATCTTGTTTTGTACAGACATTACTTACGTATTTCTGTGTAATGTTTCAGCAACATGTTAGTGTTACTAACAATATTTATTCTGGTTAATTTTTGTTTGATATGGCACTTGTACTGTCCTGTTTATATTTGAAAAAAGGCACAAGTGTGTTCCAAATAGGTGTATACATCTATAATGACACTATAAGTTTATAATTTGTCGTAAGAAGCATTTCATTGTTCAGTCACAACACCATAGCAATTTAACGGTTTTGCAGTTATCAAGTCTTGATAAGGATGAAGAACCCTCAGATGCACTTAAAGAATTCCTCTTGCCTTATCGTGATGAAGCGTCAGTACTTCAAGTGCCGCTAAGGGAGAGAAACGGCACTTGGTTCTCCAGCAGATAATGCTGCACAATGTGATCGAAAAGCGCCACCGTGAACTGAAAGATCTTGCTGCAGGAATGAATGAGCTTTCCCTTGTCAATTACCTAAAGGCACACAAGGAAATGGCCGCAGCCGTGTTTCCCAGGGAATGCGAGTCAGTAATTGACAAAGAAGAACTCAAGGGTAGGATTTCCATCGAGGATGAAAACAACCCCAAGGGCAAGTTATCATGGGATTCTTGCATCGCTTCATCGATGAAGTTAGCAGAGAAGCAGAAGGTAAGTGATTACCTCAGCTATGTCTACTATACGTTTTCTATTCTTCTTCCAGTACCTCTTCTTTCCC